TTCATCAGTTCTGTAAGTTTCAAGCCAAAAGGTACAATGGTTTTCCACTTATCGTGTTATCGGTGCTGCATATATGTTGAAAAAAATGAAAAAACAGCATAAATTCCCTAAGAGTGACCCGATCATGCTGATTTTCGAACTTGACCTGCGTATTATGAATATTCATCAGTTCTGCAAGTTTCAAATCAAAAGGCAAAATGGTTTTCCACTTATCGTGTTATCGGTAAAAGTGCACGGCGACGGCGACGACAGCGACGACGGCGACGACAGACGCAGATGATGGCTATATCTACAGACACATCTGTGTCTGTACATAAAAATGGATTTGAAATTGCAATTGGATGACATGACAGCCCGTCATGATCATTTGCAAACTCAGTATGAAAGAATGCATTTTTTTTTAGAAAAAATCCCAAGGCCAACTCCTAGAAATATTAAAAGTAGACCCACACCTGCACCTAGAAGTAGTAAAAAGAAAAGTTTGGAAACCCCTGTGAAAAAACCAATACTGAAACTAGAAGAGAGTGATAGTGAAAGTGAAAGTGAATCTGAATGTGAACAGAAAAGAGTTCCTTTAGTTGAAAGAGAAAAAGGACCTGTTCATAAAATGCCTAGTTTTAGTGGGAATGGAAGAGAAAATTGGGAAGCTTTTGTATTTAAGTTTGAAGGAATGGCAGAAAGATACGGATGGAATGATAAAAGAAAAACTAGCAGATTGATTGAATGTTTGGAAGACAGAGCTCTTGAGTATGCGGTAGAGTTTGGAAACTGCAAATATAAACGTTCGAAAGAAGTGATGTCCAAACGTTTTAGTATGAAAGAGTCTGCTTCATCTGCGCGTAGAGCACTTCAATCAATGAGACAGGGTGAAAGCGAATCTTTGCAAGATTTTTCTCATCGTGTGTTCATGGCATCTAGAGAGGGATATGCAGAAGGTGGTGAAGGAATAGCTGTGGATTCATTTTTGAGAGGGTGTCGTGACAAAGAATCTGCAAAATTGGCTATGGATAAAGAGCCTAAAGATTTATTTGAAGCGTTAGAGTTTGTGAAAGTTGCAAACAATAACTTCAAAACAGTGTATGGTACAGGTGGGAGAAATGTGCATATTAGACAAGTTGGAATATCTGATCAGAGTGTTGAGAATGGAAGCTTAGTGGAAATCAATTACTCTACAATATGCAGAGAACCATGTCTGCAATGTGTGATCAGATGAAAAGAATGAATGATGCATGGGTGTCACCGTCAAATTCTCAGAGAAATTCTGGTAGAATGGTAAAGTCGCCCCAGAATGGAAACATAAATCAAAGTAGAGGGGGTCCACCACAATGTTTTAAATGTGGAGAAAGAGGTCATGTTCAAAGGGATTGTAAAAATGAAATTGTAGAACATCCACCTAATCTCAATGTTAGTAAAAATGCCAGCCCAAGTTCTATTTTGATTTGTCATAAATGTGGACAGAGAGGTCACATTCAAACAAATTGCCCTCAAAATAGAGAAATGCCAAAGAATCCTCCTCCTGGTGCAAGAAATTTGGTAAACTGGAACGGGACGAATTGACCGACCGGATTTCGGATCCCTTACTTCATGCTGAAGGTCGGATTATGGATAGTGGAAATGTGAAAATGATGAATGTTGGAGAATTAGTGGGAGAAAATTTTGTGATTCCTGTTAGTGTAAGTGGTGTGAAAACATTAGCAGTTGTGGATACGGCAGCTCAATTTACTAGCGTAAATAAAAGATTTTATAGTAAATTGCAGGGTGTACCTGGGTTTTGTGAGACTCTGAAATTAATGCTTGCTGGAAAAAATGCATTTATGATGGGTCATAGAGTAGAAAATTTGAGTATTGAGATAGATGGAATAGAATATAAGGAAAATGTGTATGTTGCAGATTTGCAAGAAGGAATTGATATGTTGTTGGGATTGAAGTTTTTGAAGGAGAGAAATTGTGTGGTGAATTTAGTTGATCAAACTTTGATCATTGGAGAAAGATGTGTGAAGGGAAGCATAGAAGTTGAAGGTGACTCTGATTTGAGTAAAGTGAATGGTGAGACAGAAGCTAAAAGTGATGAGAAATGTGTTGATGAATTAGAGAGAGAAGTTGAAATTTGTGAAAATATGGTGAGAACGAAAAAGAGAATAGTAGTTCCTCCATTGACAGTGATGAGAATTTCTGTTTGTGCAGATTATGAGTTAGAGAAAAAGAAAGAGTATGTGATAGAACCTTGTGTTGATAGACAAGTGTTGGTATCTTGTGCATTAGTTAAAGGTGATGATGTTGTTCCTATAGAGATAGTGAATGATGGAGAAAGAAATGCTGTTTTGAAAGCAGGTAGTGTGTTAGGTGTTATTAAGGAAGTTGAGACAGTTGCTTCTGAAGTGAGATGTAAAGAATATGTAGATGGAAAAGCTAGGGTGTCTGCTGTGAATGAAGCTGAAATGAAGTTGAAAATAGATGAAAATATGGATAAAGAAGAAGTGATGAGAAGTTTGAAAAGAGATTTGCCTGAACATTTGCAAGATTTATTTGAAAGATCAAGTGAGGAGCTTGATTCAAATGAAATGGTTGCATTGTGTGAAACTTTGAGAGATTATGAAGATGTATTTGCAAAGCATGATCTTGATTTAGGGTGCATGAAAGGTGTTAAGCATACTATTAACACTGGAAGTGCAGCTCCTGTGAAACAGAAATTGCGTAGAACTCCATTGGGAATGGAAGGAGAAGAGAGAAAGATGCTTGAAAAGTTGTTAGCTTCTGATGTTATTCAGCCATCAAATTCTGAATGGGCATCCCCACCAGTATTGATAAGAAAGAAAGATGGAAGTGTTAGATGGTGTGTGGATTACATGGAATTAAATAAAAAAACTATCAAAGATTCTTATCCTATTCCAAACAATGGTGATTGTTTAGATTGTCTGGCTGGAAATCAATTTTTGAGTTTGATTGATATGGCGCAAGGATATTTTCAAATTGAAATTGATGAGAAAGACAGAAATAAAACTGCTTTTATCACCAGATATGGTCTGTATGAGCATAAGAGAATGGCTATGGGACTTAC